CAGGGTTTAGGGTTTAGGGTTTAGGGTTTAGGGTTTAGGGTTTAGGGGAGTCGGAAGTGCAGCCGTGTCTGGTCAGCGACAAAGCTGCGGCCATCCCCCTCGTGAACAACGAAGGCAGTGCATGTCGGACTCGACACTTGAAGATGCGAGCCAGGGCCGCTTGAGAAAGAAGAGGGAAAGCAGATCCTGGATGTTTGCTCACGTGGCCGGGAAGCACAACGCAGCAGACATGGGCACGAAAACCTTCTTGCCGCACCGAGTATTGCAGCAAGCGCCTTTTGCGGAACTTTGTCCTCCTGCGTTTGCAGGTCGAGCAGGCTGAGCCTTGCTGCTTCTAACATGGCCTCACCAACGGTTCCTCGCGGTCTTTTGACCCTAAACCCTAAACCCTAAACCCTAAACATCTTTCCTTAGGATCTGATCTCGGGCCTGGTACAGGTTTGGGGTCTAGAGCCTTGGTGAGGTTTAGGGTTTAGGGACTTCAGCGCCCGGGGTTTAGGGTAGTAGAGGGTTTCGGGTTTAGGGTTTAGGGTTCGGGGTCAAAAGAGGCCCATCCAGCCTGAAACTCGCCAAGAGGGTTGAGGGGTTTTGGAAGGTCAGGTCCCCTTCCCAGGTTTAAGGTTTAGGGCTCGGGGCTTAGGACCCTAAACTGATCCTAAAGCTTGGAAATTCTCATCCTCCCTAAATCCTGAGATGAAGATGCCCTACCGCATCCCGACACCCCAAACCCGGCCCCGAGGCTTATAACCCCATAAGCCCCATACACCCTACACACCCGATTCTCCCTATAAACCCACTATAAACCCTAGAGGCCCCTAAATGGCCCCTAAACCCTAAGCCCTAAAGCCCAGAAACTAGAAACCGTTAACCCTCAAGCCCTAAACCCCCAAACCCCCAAACCCTGAACCCTAAAACCATAACACCCTAAACCCTAGCACTAAACCCCCCTAAACCCTAAACCCTAAACCCCCCTAAACCCTAAACCCTAGCCCTAAACCCTAAACCCCCCTAAACCCTAAACCCCCCTAAACCCTAAAACCCTAAAAGCTGTGAGGTACCTGCCCGGCCAGATGCCCCAGACGGAAGCCGCCTCGGCGGACGCTGCCAAGCTGTGGGGGAACCTGGGGGGGCTTGGGGTTTAGGGTTTAGGGTTTAGGGTTTAGGGTTTAGGGTTTAGGGTGTAGGGTGTAGGGTGTAGGGTTTGGGGTGTAGGGTTTAGGGTTTAGGGTTTAGGCCTTTTACCTGAAGTACCTCAAACCCTTCTGGGTTACCTACAAGAAGGTGGGCTTTGGGTTCTTCAGGTGAACCCTAAATGGTAGGGTTTGGGCTCGACATGCCCAAAAATCGTGCAAAAACGTAAGGCTCTAACCCTAAACCCTAACCCTAAACCCTAAACCCTAAACCCTAAACCCTAAACCCTAAACCCTAAGCCCTAAACCCTAAACCCTAAACCCCAAACAGCCCTCAGCTGCTCAGACCCCACCCCCTAAAGGCCCGCGAACCCCACCCAGGACGAGCCGCCACACCGGTGAGCCGAGAGACATGGCGCGGTTCCTAGGGTTTAGGGTTTAGGGTTTAGGGTTTAGGGTTTCGGGTTTCGGGTTTAGGGTTGAGGGGTTTAGGGTTTGGGGTTTGGGGTTTCGGGCTTCAGGATCTGGGGATGTATGCTGCAGGGCTTTCGGAGTTTGGGCTGGCAGGGAGGGTGGAATGTTCAGGGCCTTTGGGTGTTCCGCGCTTGCGCTGGTAAGCCCTAAACCCTAAACCCTAAACCCTAAACCCCAAATCCTAAACCCTAAACCCCAAACCCCAAACCCTAAACCCCAAGCCCCAAACCCTAAACCCTAAACCCTAAACCCCAAACCCTAAACCCTTTTTTTGCTGCTGCTAGACGGAGGCCACGCTTCAACCCGAAGCCCCAAATGACCTAGGATTTAGGGTTTAGGGTTTAGGGGTTAGTGTTTAGGGTTTGAGGTTTGGGGTTTGGGGGTTTGGGGTTTAGGGCTAAACCCTCAACCCTCTCAAGTCTCGCAAGTTCTAAACCCTTAACCCGCAACTTCAATTCCTCAACCCCAAACCCTAAACCCCAGACCCTAAACCCCTAAACCCCTAAACCCCTAACCCCCTAAACCCTTAAACCCCTAAAACCCTAAACCCCTAAACCCGTACACCCTAAACCCTACTACTACACGCTAAACCCTAAACCCTAAACCCTAAACCCTAAACCCTAAACCCTAAACCCGAAACCCTAAACCCTAAACCCTAAACCCTAAACCCTAAACCCTAAACCCTAAACCCTAAACCCTAAACTCTTCCGGAGCCAGGCAGGGCCCGGCGAGTACGACCTCGTCGGGGACCGGAAGCTGCCAGGGAGCCAAGCTGGGCTTCGGCTGTGGACTCGACACCCCGAAACGGTTTAGGGTTTAGGGTTTAGGGTTTAGGGTTTAGGGTTTAGGGTTTAGGGTTTAGGGTTTAGGCTTTCGGCTTTAGGCTTTAGGCTTTAGGCTTTAGGCGTTAGGCTTTAGGCTTTAGGCTTTAGGCTTTAGGCTTTGGGCTGTAGGCTGTAGGCTGTAGGCTTTAGGCTTTAGGCTGTAGGCTGTAGGCTGTAGGGTGTAGGGTGTAGGGTGTAGGGTGTAGCGTGTTTAAGGTGTAGGGCGTTTAAGGCTTTAAGGTTTAGGTTGTTTAAGGTTCAGGGTGTTTAGGGTTTAGGGTGTTTGGTGTGTTGTTGGCGTTTTTTTTGTGTTATAGGGTTTTAGGTTTGTAGGATTTCGAGCTTTTGGGGCTTTTAGGGTGTAGGGTTCAAGGTGTAGAGTATTGTTAGGATTTGGGATCTAGTTGGCTTTGGGGGCTTAGGGTTCAAGGTTTAGCTCGGGTGTAGGGTTTAAGGTTTAGAGTTTAGGGTTTAGGGTTTAGGGTCTAGCGTCAGGGTTTAGGGTTTAGGGTTTAGGGTTCAGGTTCAGGGTTCAGGGTTTAGGAGGGTTTAGGGTTAGGGTTTAGGGTATTTGGTTTAAGGCCTCAGGGTTTCGGGTGGAGGGTTTGAGGTCTCCACCAGGTCAGCAACCGACCCAGCGGGGGAGCCACCATGCGATGCCATCATCCATTCTTGGTTGCCAGAAGGTTTAGGGTCTAGGGGTTTAGGGGGATTTACGGGGGGTTTAGGGTTTAGGGTTTAGGGTTTAGGGTTTAGGGTTTAGGGTTTAGGGTTTAGGGTTTAGGGTTTAGGGTTTAGGGTTTAGGGTTTAGGGGTTTAGGGGTTTAGGGGTGTAGGGAATGTGTCTCCGGCTAGGCTGCTCCAGCTGTCTTGCATTGGTGTTCCATTCGTTGGGGGACCAAAAGTGCCCCAAACCACGATGCCAAGCATCTTGACACCCTAAACCCTCAGCCATAAACCCTGAAATTTCCACACCCCGCGAAGCTCCGAGGGCCAAGAACGACCGCATCACAGTGTTCCATGATCCGCCGTGCTGCCATGTTCGAGCGTGTCCTCGGGGTTCATTTTCGCTGGTTGCTCTGAAAGCTCCCAATTTTAGATAGACCCCCTACATGATATCAAGGCCGAGGGGAAATCACCACTCATGGGCTTGCTACAGGACAGTTTCATGTAGAAGCGCTAGAAGCATGCCACATGAAGCCCTAAGCCCCAAATCCCGGAGAAAATTTTGCCTGAAACGGGTTGAGGTTGTTTTTTTAGGATATGGTGTATAGGGATTGCAGCTCCCAGGGCATTATAGGGCATGTAGGTTTCATAAACCCTCAATCCTAAATCCTAGCCCAAAAGCCTAAACCCTAAACCCCTTCACCCAGAGGGTGTGTGAAGCTGAGCTGTGCCCCGGGGTCGCGGGCTAGTCTCCCTACCCGAAGCCCTGAACCCTACCTAAAACCCCGACCCCTAAACCTTAAACCCTAAACCCTAAACCCCAAACCCGAACCCTAATTAAACCCCGAACCCTAAACCCCGAACCTTAAGCCCCGAACCTTGAACCCGAAACCCCAAATCCTAAACCCTAAACCCTAAACCCCTAATCCTAAACCCTAAACCCTAAACCCCAAACCCTAAACCCCAAACCTGCATCTCCGCGGGCTGCGCCAGGGGAAAGCAGAAGTTCAGACAGCTCTGGGAGCCGACGGCCGAGGGCCTCAGCATTTAGGGAGGGTTTGGGGTTTAGGGTTTAGGGTTTGGGGTTTGGGGTTTGGGGTTTGGGGTTTAGGGTTCGGGGTTTAGGGTTTAGGGTTCAGGGTTTGGGGTTTAGAAGGTTCGGGGTTTAGGGCTTGGGGTTTAGGGTTTAGGGTTCAGGGTTCAGGGTTTAGGGTTCCTAAACTCCAAACCCTAAACCTTAAAGAAGCGCGGAAGACCCACAGGCCCTGAACATTCCAACCTCCCTGCCACCCCCAAACTCCGACAGCCCTCCAGCAGAAACCCCTAGATCCGAAAGCGCTGAACCCTAAGTCCTGAAGCCCTAAGCCCGAAACCCTAAACCCTAAACCCTAAGCTCCCCAACCCGAAACCCCCCAAACCCCCCTACGCTAGACCCCCAGACCGCACCCCACAGCCCCGAACCGTAAAAGCCCGGTACAAGAACACAAAGCAAACCAACAGAAAACCCTAAACCCTAAACCCTAAACCCTGAACCCTGAACCCTGAACCCTGAACCCTGAACCCTGAACCCTGAACCCTGAACCCTACATCCTGCAACCTACACAAACCTGGAAACCCCCAGGGGCCTTAGTGTAAACCTGCAAAACTTAAGAACACCCTGCCGAGACAATGGCCGCCTTTAACTTTCAAGCCCGAACCTCAAGCCAAGCTTAACAACAACAAGAGGAAGCGAAACACACACTTATGCATCCATCTTGCAGCCACTCATCTGTTTGTTATCAAGCATGGCTTGATGCATCTTGAAAGCATCAAGCTTTCAGAGGTTCTGGGGTCAATCAGGATCACAAGGCTCAGTTTCCTTCAGTAGATCTGGCTGCCCACAACAGCTGAGACAGCGTGGCAAAAAATGACTGCGCATGACATCCTTGACATGACTGTACCCTGAAGCACATGTTTGACATGCGCATCAGAATGAAAGTCGCAAGAATCAGAACATGGCTGATGCGCTCAGCACTGCCTGAACACCTGTTTCAAAGGAAACGAACACAGCTTCTAATCTCGCCAGCACAGGGGCCTGGCATTTCGAAGGGAGAGTGCAAGATGCAGTAGCACTGCCCATGCCAATATCTGTGGGTAGGTTTTCCCAGGACCAGTGTGGAGACTTCGTTGGGCTGAGTCCATCACTGTCCTCTCCGCCCCCCCCCCCCCCCCCCGCCCCCAGTTTTCAAATCAGCAAACGTGTATTGTTGCATGAGTGTGTGACTCTTTGGTAACAGAGTTCCACACAAACCCTAAACCCTAAACCCTGAACCCTGAACCCTGAACCCTGAACCCTAAACCTCAACCCTAAACCTAAACCCTAAACCCTAAACCCCTGCAAAAACAACTCCGAGGTTGCCATCGACTGCGCACTCGCGCCCGCGGATCTTCCGGGCCCGGGCGCCTATGATGGCGCTGCCGCCGGGGGCCCCAGCGTTTCAGAAGAAGAGCTGCTGAAAAAGGTGCTAGAAGGTTTGGGGTTTTAGGGTAGGGTTTGAGGTTTGCAGGGGGCCGCTACAGGGGCTTATCATAGGGGTTTAGGGGTTTAGGGATATTTGGGCTTATAGGTTTTGGTTTGGTGTTCAGGAAAAAGGGGGGGTGGGGGGGTGAGCTGTTTCGGGCTGTTCCCCCTTGTACGAACAGTCCTTAGTAGGGAATATCATAGAGGTCCTCTAATCCTTATCAAGGACCCTTTGCAAAAGGGGGGAACATACCAAGCTGTAAGCCCTAAACCCTGAGGACCGGTTAAACCCCTAAACCCGCCCTGGACTCTCTACACCCTCAATCCCCTGCAAAGCCCTAAAGCCCTAAAGCCCCTCTACAATCTACGGTCGGGACCATGGGCGCTTCGTATGGTCCCTGACCCTTGTCTAAAGGGATCCGAAGTGTGGGCCCTCTATTCTGTTTAGTGCTTAGTGTTTAGTGTTTAGTGTTTAGGGTTTAGGGTTTAGGGTTTAGGGTTTAGGGTTTAGGGTTTGGGGTTTGGGGTTTGGGGTTTAGGGTTTGTGTGTGTAAGGATTCTCTAACAAGGGACCCAAACTAAGGGCCCATACCAGGAACGCGAGATACAAGCCCCTGGAGGCCCCGAAGCCAGGGAATGCTGCTGGGGCCGTCACGCAGCCGCCAAGCCGAATCAGGCTTCAGGCTTCAGGCTTCAGGGTTTAGGGTTAAAGGGTTAAAGGGTTAAGGGGTTAAGGGTTTAGGGCTTAGGGTTTAGGGCTAAAGGTTTAGGATTTACGGTTTGGGAGAGAGGGTGCGGGAAGCGGGCGGGGGGGGGGGGGGGTAATAGGCGTTGCGGCGTAGGGTTTGGGTTAGGGCGGAGAGAGTTGACATTTGAGGCCTTGAACCCGAAATGCTAGACATCACCATGGACCTCAAACCTTATGGCCCTAAACCCCAAACCCTAAAGCCTATACTCTAAACCCTAAACCCTAAACCCTAATTAAACCCTAGCCTAAACCCTAAACCTTCACCCCTAAACCGGCTGCACCTCTCTGTTATGACCTGCGCTCCGTTCACATGGTTTCCACGGTTGGTTTAGGGTTTAGGGCTTAGGGGTCGGGTTTAGGGTTTAGGGTTTAGGATTTAGGGTTTAGGGCTGGCACCACCAGGCGTCTTCTTCGCAACATCTTCTACTCCGGCCACGGTCATGGAACGAGCTTAGACGCTTCATTCGGTGCGAGATGCCAGGCTACGAGGAGTTTGCCATGCAAGAGGAGAAGGAACGCCGTTATCGCTACGCCACGGCAACGCCAAGGCTAAGTACGGATACCTGATCTGCAGGAGGCGTGTCTTGCAGTCTGTGCTGGAGGCGTCTCGCAGGAGTGAGGTGCTGGGTGAGAGTTGGTAGCGTGTCTGCCACCCTAAACCCTAAACCCTAAACCCTAAACCCTAAACCCTAAACCCTAAACCCTAAACCCTAAACCCTAAACCCTAAACCCTAAACCCTAAACCCTAAACCCTAAACCCTAAACCCTAACCCTAAACCCTAAACCCTAAACCCTAAACCCTAAACCCACAACCGAAGAGGCTCATGGAGAAGTAGGAGCGTGTCACCGGCCGTTTAGAGCGAGGCCAGAACGCACCCAACCCTAAACCCTAAACCCTAAACCCTAAACCCTGGAGGCTCACGGAATTTGCCAGGGGGACTCACGGAATTTGCCAGGGGGAGCAGTGACCAGGCCCTACTCAACAGAATCCCGAAACCACAATCACCTGTCTTCCAACCCCGCGCCAGTAGAAGCCGAGACTCTAGTTAGAACACTTGCTGGTGTGTTTTAGGCCTTACAGCTTTTCTGGTTAGGGCTTTCGGGTTTAGCGTTGAAGGCTTTTTGTTTTAGGGCAAGGCTTACGGTTTGAGAGTTGTAGGGTTTAGGGCTTGGGGTTTTTGGGGTCAAGGATTCGTCGGGGGGAGGACCTTATAAAGTGGGTGTGCGTGAGGGTATCCGAACCAGGACCTGTTTAAGCCCCAAGCCCTAAACCCCAAGCCAGTGCCTTTCGAACCCGAAACCCTAAACCCCAAACCCTAAACCCTAAACCCTAAACCTAAACCCTAAACCCTAAACCCTAAACCCTAAACCCTAAACCCTAAACCCTAAACAGGGCCTCTTGAGCCCCCGAGCCCACGGATCTTTCAGTCCAGCCCCGCCTCAGGTTCGTGTCGAAGAGCCCCATGGCGCATGATGTCCAGGCTTGGACCCCTAAACTCTAAACCCTAAACCCTAAACCCTCAACCTTAAACCCTAAACCCTCAACCCTAAGCCCTAAACCCTCAACCCTAAACCCTAAACCCTCAACCCTAACCGCTAAGCGAAGAGCCCCTGCAATTATGGGGTCTAGTGTTTACTTGGGTGGGACTTCGCTACAACTTTATCACTTTATAAGTTTTGGGTTCCTCAAATTTCATATTAAGGAAGCTAACAGTTAAACTTTATTGGGGTGGGTTAAAGAGCAACCAAGTTATATACTAGGACCCGGAGTAGGCCCTTATTTCCTTGTTTTAGGGTTGGGGTTCCCTTGTAATCCCCTTAGAACCAAAAAGGGCACCCTTTTCATTCCTAGGTTAGGACCCAGAATTGGGCGCAGGCCCTTATTCGTTTTTACTGTGGCCTAGGCGCGCTTAGAAGCCGGATACGCTGGCATCTGGTCTGGGCAGCCGAGTAATTAAGCGGTCTTGAGGCAGGAACTGCCAAACCCTAGTGGACCCTGCATGGGATACGCTGAGACGATAGGACACGAAGTGCTGCTGGTGGCTCAATCGGAGGATTAGGAACGCACAGCCCGACTCATATCTACGTGAACCATTCAAGTAAAGGTTTGGGAGGCTTTCTGTTGATACGCTTTCATCCATCCTTCAGATCGTGAGCCCATGCTCCTCATGCCTCTTGCCCCAATCTGGATCTCCATTTAAACCCTAAACCCCATACCCCAAACCCTAAACCCTAAACCCCATAGGGCTGGGTTTTTTCTAACTCGCCACAAATCTGCCGAAGCACTTCCACCACAGAAGCTCCCACAGCAGTGCCCTCGCCGAATCGCTCGGATGAGGGGATATCGACTGGGGAGGCTTCTAGTGGTTTTCATCTACTACCCTGCTCTATACTACCCCCCCCCCCCTAGGTTCCCCCCATTATTAAGGCTACTTGGGGATAATTAAGCCTAAATCTGGGCCGCTGGAATCCTCGCGACCGGCCGCAGGTCAAGGATCAGCAGCGCACGCCTGGTCCAGGACAGTCGGATGTCGAGGGTGGGTCTCTTTGAGTTCTAGGATGCCCAGTAGTGCCCTTATTCCCTTTTCAGTAGGTTTAGGTTCCCTTAGAAGCCCCTTCAAGCAAAGAAGGGCACCCTTTTTCATGCTAGGTTACTGGGCAACCTAGAGTTTGAACACTCAGCCCGACCCAGGGCAGGCCTTTTGGTTTTCTTTCTTTGAGGGTTTAGGTTCCCGTCCAAGCCCCTGCGAGTCCAGAAAGGGCACTACTCCTGGCTCCAGAAATGGTGTTTTGCTTTTTGAGGGTCTCTGTTGGAATGTTTTCCTACATGGCTTGAGGTATCATCAGAGTACAAGTCGGACCCCTCAATCTGGAACATCCTCCACCTTCAGAACCTAAAAACATAAGAATAAAGAATGAAGCAAGTATGAAAGACATATAGATATATATATATGTGTATATCTATATATATGTATATGTATATATATATATATGTATAGCTTCCTTACAAGGGCAAGATGGGGCCTCTTTTGGTTTATAATATTAGGGTGTGCCTTCTCGGGGTCCTTATGATAAGGAGATCCTACGAATTGGGGTTCTATGTCGGGTTTAGGGTTGAGGGTTTAGGGTTGTGATCGTTGACCCCCCCACCCCCCTATGTGGGCGGGCCCTTTGCAGCTTGTCAGGGTCTAGGGTTTCGGATTCCGGTGAGTCAAGAATTTGTGAAGTTTACGCCGACAGGTTGTTCTAAATCCCTAAACCCTAAGCCCTAGACCGTGCACGTCGGTCAGATGTCACAAGGGGTGGGTGTGCTAAACCCTACCCTAGGCCAGTCCTACACCCAGGGGGGGTGGGTATAGGATCCCAGAACCCAAGGCGCTTACACCATCGTGGGGTCGATCGACAGGGCCCTCAATGACCTGCAGGACTCTCTTTCACGCGTTGACTTCTTAACGCGGAACAAGAGAACCATGCGACCCAAGGTTCCCTAAGAGTCCCCCACTACTCCCTGAGGCTCCCTAAGCTTAGGTTCCCTAGGTACCTACTCCCCATGAACCCCCCGCCCCCCCCCCGCCCCCCCCCAAACCCCAAAAACCCCCTGAACCCCCCTCCCTGAAGAGCCAGGCTTTGGGCTTAGGATCGAGGCAGTCCATTGGTTCTCCAGCAGGGTTTAGGTTTTAGGGTTTAGGGTTAGGGTGTAGGGTTTAGGGTTTAGGGTTTAGGGTTTAGGGTTTAGGGTTGAGGGTTGAGGGTTTAGGGTTTAGGGTTCAGGGTTCAGGGTTCAGGGTTCAGGGTTCAGGGTTCAGGGTTCAGAGCATCTCTTTGAAGTGGGGCAGACGATTCCATGGTTGCTGAGGATGCGAAGCTACTTTTCTACTGGTAGGGGCCCAGACCACAACTAGAATTCCTACGGGTACCACGAGTGCAGAACTCCAAGGCTGCCTAAGAGGTGTTTAGGGTTTAGGGTTTAGGGTTTAGGGTTTAGGGTTTATGATAGTAGAGTTATCAAGGGACCCTAAGGGAAAACTGCTAGCAATTTCTCCGACATACTCTATGATCCCGGAAGCCCTGCAGCCCAAGACGCGGTTGGAGGATGCCAGCCTTCGCCATCGCTAAGTGCCCTGCTGGTTGCGAAATGGCATGATGTACCCTAAGCCCCCCTACACATGGATAAAGGAACTACCAAAGAGCATTCTAAGATCTACTGAAGATTGGCCTTCAAGAAACCTCAAAAGCCCCAAAGCCCTTAATTGCAGCACACGAAGCCCTGCACCCCAATCCCCTGTAGACCCACACCCCAGAGGCGTGCCGAGCTGATGCCCAGCCCACTCCGCCACAACCCTCAAGCCCTTCAAGCCTCCTTCTTAAGCCCTTTTCGCCCTCAACCCTCAACCCCCTTGAACCCTAAAGTCCGAAAACGCTAAAACCCTGCAACCCGAAAAACATCCGCAAAAAAACAAAATCCGGTAAAAAAAAAAAAACCTAAACCCGAAAATCCCGAGAAAAATTACCCTAGTTTTTTCGTTCCCAGACCCTGAAAAACATCTCCACACCTCGCCAGCAGGAGCGCCAGGAGGCTGCGGGTGGAAGCCGCATGCTGAGTTCGGGCGGCTGGGGAGGGTCTGGGGTTTAGGGGTTTAGTGCTGAGTTCGGGCAGCTGGGTAGGGTCTGGGGTTTAGGGGTCTAGTGCTGAGTTCGGGCAGCTGGGGAGGGTCTGGGGTTGAGGGTTTAGGGTTTAGGGTTTAGGGTTCAGGGTTCAGGGTTCAGGGTTCAGGGTTCAGGGGCATACAGGTTTCAGGATTCATGTCGGGGTGCGGGCTTAATCTGTTGTGGCCCCTGCTTTTTCCACTTTATACTCCCCTATACATAGATACTTCAAGTTCTGGGGTAAGCACCTGATTCCCGATCTCCCTGTTAAGATCCTGTATCCCTAAACCCTAAACCCGACACCCTAAACCCTACACTCCGAAACGCCCTCAATACCCGACGGAGCTTCGTCATTCCCCGGAGCTCTTGGGTAGGGAGAGCCAAGTTCCCGGATCCTCCCCCTCCCCCCAATGATAGGTTTTGGGTTTAGGGTTTCGGGTTCAGGGTTCAGGGTTTAGAGAGTTTAGAGAGGTAACCTAAGCCCCATACACCCTAAACCCGAAGCCCGAAGCCCGATACCCTAAACCCTAAGTTACCCTGAACCCTAAGCCCTTTAAGCCCTAAGCCCCGAACCCTAAGTGGTTCGGGTCTGCTCGTACACGTAGCTCAGGTTTCGGCTTTGGCTCGATGACCGAGCGAGTCGGGTGGCGGGGGACCTCGGCATCCCCCTGTCCTCTGAACTAGGCTCCTTTTTTGGGGGGCCCATATTCTCTAATATGTGCTTAAGAACCCCTCCCCCCCCCTCAAACAAAAAAAGAGAACAAGTGGAATATTACAATCCCTTTGTTGCCCTTTGTAAGGAAGAATATGTTTTCTTTTTAGGGGGTTTTCTGAAGCTGGTGCCTCAACCCTACAGCCTAAACGGCAGGCTTTGGGGTTTAAGTTCTTCGAATGTTTGTTTCTCAGTTTGGGGTTGGGAGTTCAGGGTTTAGGGGTTTCTTCGCGGGGTCTTCTTTCCCCTTGCGGGGGGAGGGGGGGTGTGCTAGATTATTGAAAAGGGAGCCCGTTTTACTCCCAGTTTAGGGTTTAAACTCTAGGGTTTTATGTTCGGCACACGGAGATATGGGGGTTTCCGAAATTAGGGAGGCCTTATTGGTGTCCTTATTATAAGGGAATCCTGCTATGTGGTGGTCTACATAAGGCTCCCCTACTTTCGTAAACCCCCATGTTTGAAACCCTAAACCCTAAACCCTAAACCCTAAACCCTAAACCCTAAACCCTAAACCCTAAACCCTAAACCCTAGACCCTAAACCCTAAACCCTAAACCCCTTTCGAGATAGCAGGGGGAGCCTTGTAATGGAGACTCCCTCATGGAGAGCACGAAGCCTTGACTGCAGCTCTGAGCTCCTATAGGGGTTTAGGGTTTAGGGTTTAGGGTTTAGGGTTTAGGGTTTAGGGTTTAGGGTTTAGGGTTTAGGGTTTAGGTTGAGTTGTGGCTTCTGGGTCCAGTATATGGCGGTGGAGGGTCCAGGGTCAAGGTCCATAGACCCTTGAGCACCCGCTTCCCCGCCATCCGACCAAGACAAAGGCCGAGGACGTAGGGGTGAATGTGCTAGGGTTTCGGGTTTAGGGTTTAGGGTTTAGGGTTTAGGGTTTAGGGTTTAGGGTTTCAGATTCAGGGTAGACCCTGGGCGCCCACTCTTGTGCAGAAGCTTCTTCAGTCTCTGTGCCATTCTACAAAGGCCGAAAGTTCACCCGAGAATCCAAAAACAACCTTGCAATCCCTAAGCTCCAAAAAACCCTAAACCCGAAAATCGCCAAACTCCAGAAATCTCTAACCACCCCCCATAATCCCCAAACCCTAGTCTCTAAGCTCTAGCCCCTAAAGCTGTTCCTAGATCCGAAATGGGGTTTCCCGAAAATAGGGGTACCTTATTGGGGCCCTTATTCTGAGGGCACCCTACTATTTGGGGATCTTTCTTGGGGGCCCCCTATCTAAACCCTAAACCTTAAACCTTAAACCCTAAACCCTAAACCCTAAACCCTAAACCCTAAACCCTAAACCCTAAACCCTAAACCCTAAACCCTAAACCCTAAACCCTAAACCCCAAACCCCAAACCCTAAACCCTAAACCCTAAACCCTAAACCCTAACCCTAAACCCTAAACCCTAAACCCTAAACCCTAAACCCTAAACCCTAAACCCCCAAATGGGCAGGTCCCGCGATGTGAAGCAGCCTTTCAAGGACCCCTACCATGCCACAGCCTGAGCGATAAGTCGGAGTCAGTCCAAGCACGAGGAGGGTTGGTTTAGGGTTTAGGGTTTAGGGTTTAGGGTTTAGGGTTTAGGGTTTAGGGTTTAGGGTCTAGGGTCTAGGGTCTAGGGTTTAGGGTTTAGGGTTAGGGGTTTAGGGTTTTTTTTTGCTTCTGCCTTGCGCGATGTCTGCTCTATCGCGCTTTGGCGCCAGCTCGGGGGGGTTTGGGGTTTGGGGTTTAGGGTTTCGGGTTTCGGAAGCGGCATTTGCAAGGTGCGCGGCGAAGCATATGCCTTCCTGTTCGCGATCAGCAGTATTCTAGGACCCGGTTTAGGCCCTTATGTCCTTTTTTTATGGTTAGGGTTCCCTTATAATCCTCTCAAAACCCAAAAAGGGTACCCTTTGGTTCCTCCTGGGTCTAGTTTTGTATAACGCTTCAGTGTAGGACGTAGGTTAGGCCCTGCTCTGCAATGTCGGACTCCAAATCGGCTCCAGCGCCCGCACCGACTTTGAGGCGCCTTCGATGCACGGAAGCTCGTGCTGAAAACACCATGGGTTTAGGGTTTAGGGTTTAGGGTTTAGGGTTTAGGGTTTAGGGTTTAGGGAGCTTGAGGACCCGAAGATCGCACTGAAGTTCGCTCGAAAGACCACGGAGTTGAACAACGAATGAGGTGCACATCAGCAACATCTTCGCGCACGTGGACGGGCAGACGATGACTGCAGCGTTGCTAGGTTGCCGTCGTTGCAGTTGTCCGTGGTCGTTATTCCGTGACACCCCGAAGAACCCAAAAGAAGCTTGAGCGCCGCGTGCACGCGCATTTTGTGCTCGAATCGCAGTGCTTGAGCCAGTCGCCGTAGTATCCCAACAAGATCCCATCCAAAAATGCTTAGTTCCGTAGAAACTTGCAAAGACAATTCGCATAATGGCTTCAACAAGTCTCATGTACCTTGGCTCAAAAAAGCCGGGGTTGTTTTGGGGGGTGGTGCAGCCCGCCGCCATTTGCAAACACAACGCTCACATGACGGGCTTCAAAAATGACACATGCTTCGTTTGGTACAAGCTTTGCGCGGCTTAGAAAAAGCTTGGGGGCTCGATTTGCAAACGCAATGCTCGCGTTCGGGGTTTGAAGACTCATCAACAAGGGTCATATAGGATTCATAGGCTTCGAAGAAGATTCATATGCTTCGAAGCAAGCTTGCGCGCCTAAATTTCTGCCGGGGGGGGGGGGGGGGGGGGGGTTGGACTATGCCCTGCTCCACAATGCTCCATGGTGATATTAGGTACCTAGCCAGTTCCTGCATTCCGTATTCAGAAACCCTAAACCCTAAAACCCTAAACGTCGCGCCCAGTTGAAGAATGTGCCGGGTCCAGGCGGGCCCGCAGGTTTGTAGGGTTTAGGGTTTAGTTTAGGGTATAGGGTTTAGGGGTTTTAGACCCTAAACCCTAAACCCTAAACCCTAAACCCTAAACCCTAAACCCTAAACTGTTTTAGGGGCTTCAGGGTTCAGGGGTTAGGGTCACGAAGGCCCCGGTTTCTTGTGGTCATAGGGTTTCCTCAAAACCTCCGCCTAAAGACCCTCAAGCATTCCCTACTGAAGGTTATTTTCGGGGCGAGGGTTTAGGGTGTAGGGTGGTTCAGGTTGGTGGTGGGGGAGGGCGGGGGGGTTTCCAAATCAAGGGTTCTGTCAAGATCGCGACGAATTGCAACAGAGTTGGAAGGTCGGCATTTTGTTGGACCAATTGTTTAAGGCTTAGGGTTTAGGGTTAGGTAGGCATTTTAGGATGCATGATGGATGACATGTCGACTTCGGTGGCCTGCTTGCAGCGCTGGTGGTTCGGGTCTAGGGTAAAGGGTCTCGACAATGCGTGAGTGGGTTTAGGGTTTAGGGTTTAGGGTTCAGGGTTCAGGGTTTAGGGTTTAGAGTTTAGGGTTTGGGGTTTAGGGTTTAGGGGTTTAGTGTGAAAGATGTGGTCCGTGGGAGAGGATCATGCACGGATCTGTGTTTTTGCCGCAACCTGCTTGTGGTTGCTGAGCGGGATCCAGAAAGATGTGCCTAATCGGTTTACCTCGCTTCGAGTCCACTCCCTCAATGCCTAAAAGTGCGTAGGCCCGGAGCAATTCTCGTTGCAAAGGGCCATGCTTCCGAGCCCTAAACTCCTAACCCGACAAAGCCATTCACCCTAAAGCCCTAAAGCCCTAAAACCCTAAAACCCTACAACCCTAAAGCCCTAAAACCTTAAAACCTTAAAACCCTAAAACCCTAAACCCTAAAACCCTAAAACCCTACAACCCTAAAGCCCTAAAACCTTAAAACAACCCTAAAACCCTAAAGCCTAAAACCTAAAGCGCCCAAACTCCTCGACACCCCGCTGAGGCCCCCCAAGACACGAACCGGCACGGGACCTGCCCCGCAGGCCACTATTCCATGACAACCGGCAACCTTAAGGACGAACCGGGGGCGTTTAGGGTGTTGTGTTCAGGGTTTAGGGGTTTGGGGTTTAGGGTTTAGGGTTTAGGGGTTAGGGTTTAGGGCTTAGGGCTTAGGGCTGAGGGAATATCTGCATGCAGGGATCTCATACTAAGGCCTTCGGGTGGGTGAGTTCAATTGCGGGATCCCATGCTACGTACTATCCCTACTGCCTCCGAAGCAGCTCCGACCCAAGCCAAAGAGAGGACCAAAGAAGGCCTCTGCCCTGAAGCCTAAACCAGTTTGGGGTTTAGGGTTTAGGGTTTAGGGTTTAGGTTTTAGGGTTTAGGGGTAAGCATTTCTTGAGGTAGTAGTCAGGCATGGGATGTCAGAATTCGATGGGTTGGGCTTTGAGGCTTTGTGGCTCTTGAACACTCAACTTTGGTGTGGGGTCTAGGCTGTAGGGTTTAGGTATAGGGTTTAGGGTGTAGGGTGTAGGGTTTCGGGTTTAGGGTTTAGGGGTTTAGGGTTGAGGGTGCTTGGTAGGTGAGAGACCTTAGGGCCCCTTGAAGGCGGCAAGTTCCTCCGTGCTCCTTCCGCCTAAACCCTAAACCCTAAACCCTAAAGTAGGATCGTTTTGAGGGGTCTCCTCTTGCAGGATCCGAACGAGATCGATCCCAACAAGGTCCAGGGAGCTGCTTTCTCTGCGTTGTCTCCCCCCAAACCACAAACCCTAAACCCCAAACCCTAAACCCTAACCCCAAACCCTAAACCCTAGGCCCTGAACCCTAAACCCCAAACCCCAAACCCTCAACCTAAAGCCCAAACCCTAAACCCCAAACCCACAAACCCTAAACCCCAAACCCAAGTCTCACGGCCAAGAGGTCCTGCAGAGGCCGCGGAAATCCCTCCACGGAGTGCCACAGTTGCACTTAAAGTGGTTTAGGGTTTAGGGTTTAGGGTTTAGGATTTAGGGTTTAGGGTTTGAGGTTAAGGTCATGTAGCCCCAACATGCTGCGGAGGTGCACCACCCCACGCTGATCTTGGCCCTCCAGGAGACGGAGGCTGACCCGGGGTTTAGGGTTAGGGTTCGGGGTGTAGGACTCAGAGTTTTGGTTTTGAGGCTTGCAAGGTAGGCTTTAGGGCAATTTAGGGCTTGAGGGGACAAGCTTAATATTAAGGAAACCCAAGAACAGGGAAGAATCCCATGACTGGTTGGGGTTCTTAAGCCAACCGTAGAACTACTCTCATGAATGCGATGATTACTTCGTGATAGCAATGCTTTTATTATTATCGGTGTCATCATCATCATCATCATCATTGCCATTGTCATTGTCATGTTTCTTATTAACGTAGTGGCAGTGGCAGTGTCAGTAGTGGTACGAGTAGGTTAGCAGTAGCACCTGCAATAGCTCTCACACAAGTCGCACTCGTAGTCGCCGCAGTAGCAGTAGCAGCAGCAGCAGCAGTAGCAGTAGGAGTAGTAGTAGTAGTAGTAGTAGTAGTAGTAGTAGTAGTAGTAGTCGTCGTCGTAGTCGTAGTCGTAGTCGGAGTCGTTGTCGTAGTCGTAGTCGGAGTCGTAGTCGTAGTAGCAGTAGCAGTAGCAGTAGCAGTAGCAGTAGCAGTAGCAGTAGCAGTAGCAGTAGCAGTAGCAGTAGCAGTAGCAGTAGCAGTAGCAGTAGCAGTAGCAGTAGTAGTAGTAGTAGTAGTAGTAGTAGTAGTAGTAGTAGTAGTAGTAGTAGTAGTAGTAGTAAGCACCACGGCTCTGATTTGTCCCAGCAGCGGGACACCTTTTTATGAAGCTAGCTGACACCTCCTGCTCGTGCGATGGCTCTGACTGCTTCTTTGACTCTTGTCTCCTTTGCAATGATCATTACAGATATTCACGACCTGGAGGCGTTAACTGGACAGTCAGATGCGGCATCGTATGCTCATGGGCAGGCAGATGCACTTCTCTACCAACTAACCCAAGCACCTTCGCGCCGCGGTGACAAGGCTGGACAATCAACCATGCAAGTGATTCGCAACGGAGGCCTCCTCTGTTCATGGAACAAGGGGTCGTGCCGACGGAGCGTTGATGCAAGGGTCAGATTTTGGCCACCTCGCAGTGATACAACTTTCACATTAACATTGGGTGCCGGCTCTGCTGGCCCCAATGCTGGACCATGCATCCCCATGAAGTGGTCGCGCAGCTGGAGCTCAGGTGCCAGAGACAAACTGCAGTTGTCATTGCGCCGACGACGCTGTGCAAGGGTCAATCCGAAGCCGAAAGTATACTTCTCAGCCGTCTCGGCCCCTGGCTTGTGCAAAGCGGCCCCATTGAGGGAAGCCGATGCGTTGCGCAATTTGCCAAGAGGCCGCTCCACACTGGCGCTGCTGTATCTCTGGGTCATGCAAGGGATGAGCAACGGGGGCCTCCTCTGCTCTGGGAGCATGGGGTCGTGCCGACGGCGCTCTGATGCAGGACAGGAAGTGCTCTCGACATCGTGCCGACGGTGCTGTGCAAGGGTAAATCCAAAGCCGAAAGTACTTCTCGGCCCCTGGCTTGTGCAAAACGGCCCCATTGTGGGTAGCCGATGCGTTGCGCAATTTGCCAAGAGGCCGCTCTGCAGAATGGCGCCGCTTTATTTTTGGGTCATGCATGGGATGAGCAACCGGGGCCTCCTCTGTTCTTGGAACATGGGGTCGTGCCGACGGCGCTCTGATGCAGGACAGGAAGTGGTATCAAAGTGGCGCTTGCTTCATGATGGGTGTCAGCCAAACACAAAAGAGCCGGTCCCAAGTCCGGGGTACGCAGATATCTCTACAGCCTGTTCAAGATTACACACCTAGTTGGGTCTGCGTATGGTGTGAGGGTTCCGGTCCTGTCCGCAGGGGCCGGGGGAAGCGACATGCAACAACCCTGAACAGCTTTTCAGCGCTGAAGCCATGCGGAAAACAGCCTATATATGGGCCACATGGGCAAGATCTCACCCAAGGACGTGTGACAGTCGCTATGACTGTGCCCTTAGTCTTGAAACTAGGGCATTTGTGTGTGCCGACCCTTCGGCCACAGGAATTCCAATCAGGATATGGCAATGTGTGGAATTGCTCTGATGTCCAAGCTCATGGAGCTCTCACCTTCAGACGCAATAGCTGGAAGGAGATGTGGCGACATTCGTTGTGGACTGTTCGCTCCTGCTCCCCACGTAGCCCTCGGGAATCTGTGGGTTGGCCCGTGGCTAGTTCGGGCAATGAGGCAACTTGCGCGATGCGACGAGTCACTGTAGTTCCGAACTCTCCATGGAGGTCCTCAACTGATTGCTTCTGAGTGCGGTACATCATTGAGCTGACCACATGTTCTGCACCTGTGTTGGTATAGTGCATGTACTGTCCATGGGTGTGATTGGTGGTTGCTTGGCTATTTGTAGCGGATCACCTGCCCATTTTCTCTCATGTGGAAACGGAAATCCGTTAGCGCTCTTGAAGCGCCGCTGCAAGGCAGTGCCACTAGGCTGTTCGCTAAGCTGTGGACTCGAACTGCGGCTGCGCTTGGAATGGAATGGAATAGTAGTAGTAGTAGTAGTAGTAGTAGTAGTAGTAGTAGTAGTAGTGGTAGTAGTGGTAGTAGTGGTAGTAGTGGTAGTAGTGGTAGTAGTGGTAGTAGTGGTAGTAGCGGTAGTAGTGGTAGTAGTGGTAGTAGTGGTGGTAGTGGTAGTAGTGGTGGTAGTAGCAGCAGGAGTAGTAGTCGTCGTCGTCGCGTCGTCGTCGTGGTAGTCGTAGTGGTCGCGGTGGTACGTCCCCAGACCGGCAGTTGGCGACCGAACTCCTCGTCCGACATGGACTAATCTTCAGGAAACTCCCTAAATCCCTAAACCCTAGACCTCCAGAACCTCCACCCTAAACTCTAAACCCTAAACTCTAAACCCTTGAACATTCATCCTTAAGCCTCAAACCCAACCCAAACCTTAGGGTCAGAAAGCCCCTCAAAGCGGATCCAAAGCTTTGAAGACTCGAACACGTGCAAACTTTTCCCCAAGCACCTCTCTACCCAAATCCCGAATCCCCATGAGCACGAAATCCCCCAATTCCCCCAAAAAAACGTATAAAATGCAAAATATAAAACAATTCAAAAAGAAGCCCTCAAACCTAAACGCCTATCCCCCAAACCCCTATCTCCTAGGCGCTTAGGCCCCCCCCCAAAAAAAAAAAACAACAACAAGGCCCTTAAACCAAAAAGGCCTTTCACCAAACAAGCAGAAAGCAAAAATGCCGAGGGTCCACTCCAAGCCTTTAACACCTCGGACGACAGGCGGGGCTCTAAGCTTTACCCTCAGGGTCCATGTGCCTGAATTGGGAAGACCTGGCCCTTAAAATACTTCCTATATAAGGATTTTGGGGCCCAAGTATATAACAATAAGGTACATGGCATTAGGGTTATAGGATGTAGGCTGGTAGGGCTTAGGGTTCAGGGCTTAGGGCTTCGGGCATAGGCCTTAGGATTGCTCGACAGTTCGCTGCTTTAAGCTCGTCTTGCAGGACTAAGCCAGCAGTGGGGTTACGGATTAGGGTTTAGGGTTTAGGGTTTAGGTTTAGGGTTTCGGGTTTCGGGATTAGGGTTTAGGGTTTAGGGTTTGGGGCTTAGGGCTTAGGGCTTAGGGCTTAGGGCTTAGGGCTTCGGGCTTAGGGCTTAGGATTAAGGGTCCCTTATGGGCCTATGTGTTACGTTGTTTGCGTTTTCCGGATGTAGCTCGGTCTTCGTGGGAGCTAGAGGTTGGGGTTGGGGCCGGGCAATGATTGAGGGCTTCGGATTCTTTCATAATAGTAAGGTCGGCAGCCAAGCAGAGGACATAGGGTATCGCCAAACCCTGAACTCTACACTCGACACCCTAAACCCCAAACCCTAACGTGCTTTTCAACAAGCATCCACGCTGGCGAGAGCAACAGAGCCTTGGCGCGGGAAGCATTGCTGGCAGAGTTGCATAGGGCATAGGGGCTCCGCAGATAGCCGGTTGAGGTGGCTTTGAAATTCTGAAAGGTGATTGACCAAGCCAAGTATCCCTTAAACCCTACACCCTAAACCCTAAACCCTAAACCCTAAACCTTTAAACCCTACATCCTAAACCCTATATCTTCCTTCACCCGAGAGGCCTCTAGGTGGGGGGAAGTGGCGGCTTCTGGAGACCAAATGGCTGCGGGATGTGTGAGGGGCCGCCATTGCGGGGCAGCCCTACAGCCCTAAATCTTATGGGGGGTTTGGGGTTTAGGGTTTAGGGTTTAGGGTTTAGGGTTTAGGGTTTAGGGTTTAGGGTTTAGGGTTTAGGGTTTAGGGCTTAAGGTTAGACATCCCCAAAAAAGCTGAGACATAAACCTTTCGAAGCCGCAGACCGCCCATGCCTTTCAGAGTATCCTGCTCCAGGTCTCGGAGTGTCCTCCAGAAACGACCCTGGCCCTAGCCAAGTCCCCAAGCCCTAAACCCTCAACCCTAGCCCTAAACCTTAAACCCTAAAGACCCTACACCCCAAACCCCAAACCCTCAAACCCTCAAACCCTCAAACCCTCAAACCCTCAAACCCTCAAACCCTCAAACCCTCAAACCCTCAAACCCTCAAACCCTCAAACCCTCAAACCCTCAAACCCTCAAACCCTCAAACCCCAAACCCTGAAGCATCAGATCTCGGAAGCGCCAGCCAATGCTCAGCCGCCCAATTCAATTTCGCCTCAGGACCTCAAAAGAAAAATTATATATATATATATGTAAGAGGAACCTTTATGTATTATTAGGCATGTTCTCTTTGTTTTAATATGTTCTATACTACTGAAGGTTTCGGGTTTAGGGTTTAGGGTCTAGGCTCAGGACTCATCGGGACGTCTGCTACTTGGATTATGGGATTTAGGGTCTTAATGTTGGGAGTTAGCAAGAGTGTTTAAGCAAGCTAGATAACAACAAGGAAGAAAAAGGGACGAGCCACGAGCATAATGTAGAACAAATGACAAAGAGAAGTGCCCGCACTCAGCCTCACTGCCTTCATCATCTAGTCCTCCCTTCTTTCTCTTCTGTGGTTCTCTTCTTGCAGAATGAACATTTAAGACCACAAACCAATCTCATTACTTTCATCCTCCCTCTTCTCTCTGCTCTCTCCCTTCTAGCTTTCGTCTTGTCTCGTTTTCTTGTGGAAGAGAGAATGCATAACACTAGATGAGCGAAGCACATGGACGGGAAGAGAGAGAAGCAAGTACTTGTTTGTTGCATAAGGGAGACACACTCTCCCCTAGGGCAGGGGTGAGTTCCCCGGTTCCCCTTTTTTTTGCGTTCCAACGTTTCTATTCCTTTTAAAGAGAAAGAAGGGGGTAAACACAAGGACGAAGACGGTTCCCCTGTCCACTTGTGCAATTTTTTTGGACTTACCCATTCAACGAGAAAAGAACAGACAGCAAGAGGAAAGCAACAAACATTTGACTAACGTGCGGTTCTTTCAGGAGAAAAGGAGTCGGGTAACAGGAGAAGAACAACGAAGAGGTAAACATTCAAATATGTCATTCTTCTATTTACACACTGTCCTCATCTCTCCTCTCTTCCCTTTCTTGTTGGAAGAAGAAAAAAGGAAGGAAATAAACCATAAGGGGGAGGCGCCCCATCCTCTCCTCACCTCTCTTATCTCCCTCTCTGGCTTTGTTCTTGTCGGAAAGAGAGATGAATGTCCAAGAACCCAAGATCATCTCGTTACCTTCGTCCTCGCTCTCCTCTCTTCTCCCTTTTTCTCTGCTCTTTGCTTTTCTTATTGAGGAGAGAAACTGCAAGCAGTCTCGCGAAGTCGGATTTGGGGCTGCGCGCGTGCGAGTGGGGGCCTCCTTCCACAAACCCCTCGAGAGAAAGGAAACAGAAAGAAAGAACGAAACAAAGAAAGCAAGACAGACAGAAAGAAAGAAAGCAGGCAGCTGTTCGCTGCAAAGGGGTTTCGGCTCCCCTGGTGCAGGCCTGGGTTCCCTGGGCTCCTCTTCGCATAGAGTGCGGTTGAGTTCCCTTATTCCTCCATTTTGCCTTCATGCCTCCACTGCGTTCCAACTTTTCTGAGCAGTACGCACAAGACAACACTAGGAACGAACAACAAATGACAAAGAGAAATGCCCGCGCTCAGTCTCACCGCATTCATCCTCTTATCCTCTCTTTGTTCTCTTCTGTGGTTCTCTTCTTGCAGAAAGACTTACGAACGGAAGCCAATCTCACTGCTTTCATCTTCCCTCTTCTCTCTGCGCTCTCCCTTCTAGCTTTTGTCTCTTCTTGTTTTTTCTTATGGAGGAAAGAATGCATAACATTAGATGAGCGAAGCGTCTGGACGGGAAGAGAGAGAAGCAAGTACTTGTTTGTTGCATAAGTGAGGCACACTTCTTCCCCTAGAGCAGGGATGAGTTCCCCTGTTCCCTTCCTTTTGCCTTCTGTAATGCCTCCCCAGCGTTCCAACTTCTTTCTAAGGAGAAAGAAGGGAGTAAATACAAGGACGAAGACGGTTACCCTGTCCACTTGTGCATGTTCTTTTCGTCTACCCATTCAGCGAGAAAGGAACAGACAATAGGGGAAAGCACA